CCTTGGAATTTCCGCTGGATGGCGGTGCTTCTATATGCGGAATATGTGACGAAAAGATGTGAGATGGTGGTACTTGGAGTGTTGACTAGATGGACGAACGGACACACAGACAGATGCATGAATGGATGCATGGACGGCTGCACGGACGGATGGACGCATGGACGGACGCAGGGGCGGATGCATGGACAAACGCAGGGACGGACGCACGTACGGACGGGCGGATGGACACACGGATGGTCACACAGACGAACGCATGGATGGACGGAAGCAAAAACAAATGGATGGACAGATGCTTCGCCCCACTCTCCATCGTTCACCCCGTAGAATTGCTGCCATTTTTTTAATGTCGATCTATACAGCATAAAGGGCCGTACATTCATGAATACGAAACAAATTCACCTTTTCGATTTAATCTCTAACTCTGAAGCAATATTTGTCCATGAGAAGGTCAAGTTTGTCTTTCAGAAAAATAGCCATTTCTTTCTTCTACGTAATGTTCCCAGATCCAGTAACCCTGAGGGGGCAACCTGATTGTGGGTTTTCGAGTTGAAGAATACTTCTATGGTGACTACATCGTAGGTGAAATCTGTTGCAGATCTTTTTCACATTGTTTTTTTTTCAATATTTTCTGAAGAAAACATAGTGTTACACATAAAAACACACTTCACAGCTTCACTGTCTGTCTTTTATACATGCTAACAGACAACAACAAGACCTCCGTCCTTGTCAAGGTTGAGCACACGCAGTGAGTTTACGCTCGAGCACGATGCCACCCAAGGTGTCGACTGACGTACACAATCAATTTTGCATGTGGTTACGACATCGGAATCACTGCTGGGGAAATGTTCGGACTCACTTGAAACGGGGAGGCTGACCGTCTTTCTTTACACGGAAAACAGCACCAGGCTACATGTCCCTGGTTGGACGACGTACTTGTACCCTAAGCCTAAGATTCTGGACACTTCTTTGGAGACTCAAGCTTTCACAAGAGCGAATAGTCGGCTTCCGCGAGCCTTCTTCACCTGTGGAAGTTTAGCGCCAAGAAGAGGGAGCATGGCGTGCCAGAACCATTATGTTGCCCGGCCTGATACACGCTGCTATTCATACGTGTCAAGCACTGCACGCGAAACATTACGCTGGTTTTGCATATGAAAGGATGGTGATGTCCTTTAACTCACTGCCAAAGATGCTCGCGTGGCTCGAAATCCGATCAGTGCACATTCATGTCTCAGCAACCATAATCATTAGGCTAGACACATAGTAATTGAGGAAACGCAAGGAGTCGAGCGTTATAGCATAGCTTTAATGAAGTTATCTAAGAGACCGTGATTTTCTTTACTGCGCAGATCCTAAGTCAAATTGAATGAGACTGAGCTTGCAATGCGCAGGCCCCTTGAGTGTACACGCGATGCTTGCCTGATTTTGCTAATAAAGAATTTGGAAGCCACGCTACGTGTTTCTAGTTTGTTTGCCACTGTTAAGTTTATCCGCATCAATATGCAGAAACACCTAGCCCAGCTAAGTGGGCTCAAAGAAAAGCGTTGTACTGTCAGATCGATCCAGAGTGTTACTTTTGTGAGCTGTCGGAAAAACTTGTGTACGTCCCAAAAAAGCCCACCTAACCACCATTTTGAAGTGCTCCTTCCATTTCTTTGCGTCACATTTTTCCCAAAAATGTTTTTCTTGCATCGAATTGGTCATGACACCTTAAGAAACGAAGAAGAAATTTTTATGCTGATCATTATTATTCTTGCATGGGAAAGCTTACCACTGATAGTGCCCAATTTTGTAACAGCATTATCGAAAACACCGTGAAACATTTGTGATCAGAGCTTTTTTTTTTAATCTGTGGTCATTAGGAAGTCGTAAACAAGACAGCGCCGCTTCTCACCATGCAGCTAATTTTACCACGTGAAAAGCACAAAATAGGGTGGGGATAGATAATAATATGCGTACTCTGAATTTAGGACTAATTGTGGAACGTTTCACAGCATCAGAATAAAGTACAGCAAAGTGATTGACTCCATCTAGTGTCGGGGCTTTTTCGCCCCGAACGTTGTCAGTAGGATATAAATCTTACTGACAACGTAAGGGGTCGGGAAGCGGTCACTATATTTCACGATCTGTTCATTTCTACCAAGAACGTTGCCACACATAATGACCAGTTATCAGTTCCTTTACCCACGCAACGCTCAGAAGCATTACACTTCTGTTTCTAGAGGAAACAGTGACCATGGCTTCGTGCCCTGGCAACAATGGAGGAATCTAACCAGTCACTTCGGTAAAACGTCTCAAAACCTTAGAAGAAACAGATCATCAGAAAAGCTCGCGATCTGGAAGGCAGTATTTTAGAAAATGCGGCATATGCGTATACGTAAGTAACTGGCCTAGCTTCGAGCACTGCACTTGAGCACACTCCTATGGTGATTGGCATACTACACAGCCATCGCCCCCGACATTTATAGCTCATAATAAGCTGCGCTTTGAAAAAAAGAAAGATCAACAAATTGATTCTAGAAATGTTGAAATTCACAGCTGTTTCTGTCTGCTTCCCAGAAAATTGATTCAGATTGTGCGTGCTATTGCCTGAATTTTGGTTTTATTATTATGTAATGCTAAAATTAGCCCTAACAATTCTCTAATTTTTGTTTCAAGCGAAGCATGTACTACTTGAAACATTGCGCTCTTATCTATGTACGTTGTCTTTAGTATTGCATGACTTGTTGCCAAGAGAAATATACTATGCAAAGAGTGGCCACTAGAGCCTTTTCACGGCCCGGCAAGAAAGGCTCTGAGCAACCGCTAGATGGCGTACTTATGCTTGCTTTTACTCCTATGTTACCACATGTAATAGCCGCCTCAGGAGGATAATGAACCTTCAAGTTTGGCATCAATTTTCGCAAAAAAGAAATTTTATTGATTTGTGCGATTTTTCAAATCCGCATTACATGTCCTCAGTGGGACATTACATGTCCCACTGAGGACATGTAATGAATTACAACAGAAAACAGTAGAGTATGACTAAAAATTGTTGTTTTTCTGCATTTACTTAGCATGAAAAGGCACATTCATGTGGTTTAGATTTACTGTACATGTGTTCCCTTGTAGAATCATTGGTGTGTAGCTATAGTGGTAAAGACACTCGCTTTCGGAGGATGAGGGTACGGGTTCAAATCCCAGCGTTGGAAAGAAAAAAAGTTTTGTTATTTTATTTATTCTGAAGACCTTATCGGGTCTGACCAACCACTCGTAGTGCTGAAAGCAGCTCAGTAGCTGAGCAGCAGGGCCCTACGGAATTGTTTTATGTAAGTATGTTTCTTTATGCTGTTACCAGCTCATTTGAAGAAATAAAATGCATCGTTATTATTATCTAATTCTTAGTTCTATTATAGACAGCACTTCAAAAATACAACTGTTACAAATAACATATCATGATAACCAATATTTCAAAAGTGGATCGGCTAAAAATTGATATGCGATTTCTTCATCAAATGTCCATATGGTACAGGCAGTTTTAAAACACTTAGTTTCCTACAGACTCAACGATGGACTACCGCAGCGTAAGTTCATGTGCCTCGTATGCTCTATTTCGGTTTGAATGATAAGTCCTGCATAAACGTGTTCATGCTGTAGCTTTGCTTTCCTATTGTATTGCTAGTTGATGGCAAGTTGAGCGTTTCGGTGCGTTTGAATTAGGTCGATTACTTATTTTTTGTGATTTATTGAGAAAAATCTTCATAGTGACTTAAGCTCGGACACTTTTTCCTATCTCTAATGATGATTCAATGGCTTAAATGAGTGTAAGAAGAGAATTCTGCATCAGGACTGAAAGTTCCTGAAGTTTCTTGTAAGCCTGTCAATTCCTTCTACATAAATATACCATTATTGTGGCTTTATGAATACTTGAGAAGCAATAACACTCTTTCGACATTTAGAGTTTATAACAATGACTACGCAAATTTGGGACGTTTGTTTCGTACTTTTGCGGTTGTGACAAAGTTAGCTAGTAAGATTGGTGGTTATATGCCTACTTCGATTTGCCACCAACCCTCTTATCGTTCTTCACATTTTTGTATAAAGGATCGGTATTTTTAGTGCAAGATAAATGAAAAGAGCATGTCAACTTGGACTTTTAGAGAGTCATCGCTGACATGCGAAAAGTTATATTGTTTGTTGGATAATGCACTCTACAGTCTCACACTTGGCCAAGTTGCGTGGCGATTTAGAATGTTCAGCTGCTGGTGAGACCACCACTTGTCGATCGTCAACGGTTAAAACAACTAAATAAAAAAAGTTACATTGTAAGCTTATGCACCAAGCTTTCTTCGCTATTCTTAAGGAGCATGTCTGCTACATTGCACGGAGACTCGCAAGTGCTGATCACTGACAAATATCACGCAATCAGTTTAATTATGTGCGAAACGTTCAGCAGCATTATTCCCCAAACTATGCTGCAATGCGATTATTGTTGAATGTAGAGGCGTAGTCCTAAAGTGACACTGTTCACTTCTTTTTGGTCACAAGGCTATCAAATTTCAAATTTTTTCTACAGATCATGTTATATCTATGGCGATACCTGCTAATTATTGCAGATGACGTCTTTCCTGCAGTCGTTACTATCTCAAAGGCATGTGCACTGAATAATGGCTGATGTAGTGCGCCACAGAAATGTCCATACATGCACGAGATGATTACGCTCATTATCGCAGGAAGCTAGGGATATAAAGTGAATTACACAGCCGAAACAAAGGCAATGTATGCTTAGTGCGTGAAAATACTACGTTTCCAGATGCTTCAGTTGGTTAACGAATTCGACTTAGATCTTAAAATTGCGCAGAAGCTGCTCCGAAGTGAAGCTCGGAAGAGTAAATTTGCCTGTAGCTATTGCGACTTTGAGGTTGAGGCTTTGGCTAGTTGGTTCATGTTTATTATAGAACAAAAAAGGCCGCACGAAATTTTGACAATACATAACAGGAAGAATGCACGAGAACGGCGCTTACTCACAACTGAGGAACTACGTTGTATGGCCCAAGCTTCTCGAGTGCGCGAAATTACTTTGAGCTCGCTCTTCTGTGGTTATGACATAAAGACAACGCGGACGCGTCATGCAGTGTCGCCGCTTAGTCAACATTTCAGCAGTGCACTGACGTTAGCGTAGTTTTCGCGCTATCTTTTTGCTAACTCAACATTGTGCATCCCATAGGCGGGTTTTTGGTCGTTTACACTCTTTCAGGGTGATTCTTTCTTGTTACCATAAATATTTCCGCTCACGAAGGCAACAAGGACGCATAGGTCAGTCGTTACGCTTATATAAAAAAATTACAGATAAAGAAATGGACGAGATACTGCTACTCACATAACACATCCGGATATTTATCTGCAACGACTAATCGGTCCACTGTCTCCACAAACATGTAAATATTAAAGTTTCCAGCCGCAAGTGTCACCAGAGATTTTCGCTTCATGACTAAGTTGGTCGTAAGTGAAGTGTGAGGAAATGCGAGACACCGAATATGCATGTTATGGTATAACCTCTACTTCGAGCGCAAGTGCAAAACCCGGGCGATTAAGCTGATTTATGAATCGTGTCCTTCACTGGCGTTACTGCGCGAGCACTGTTCTTCGGCTAGAGTAAACGTGGTGGGTTGTTTCGATCGTCGCCGCGGGTGCCTGTCAATCACCCTAATGTAGGCACGAACTTGAATACAAGCTTGATGATACTGAAATTTCATGCTTAAATTCTGTAAAAGTTGTTGTTTTCTGTATGTTTCGTCATGGCACGGTAGACTATGTGCTCCACTGTTTACTACAGACACGTTTTAGTGAAACTGGCCTACAGTGAACGACGACATATCTTGGACCAGTTTTATACATCGGAACCACATTCGTGGCTTTTCATTCCCTAGTTAAGCTATACGTAGACAAGTATTTCCGAAAGATTAAAAGCGTATTGGGCGATTATGTCAGAACAAGCCTTCAACACGTAAGAAGGTATACCTTTGTGACCATTTGCAGAAGAATAATTTATATTGTAAAATAACTCAAGTAACTGCCATAGTGATATACAGCGCCCGAACATGTTCAAACACTTTGCGGAGAATAAGCAGTCGTTCACTCTGACAAAGAGGTGTGAAAGCAGACTGAATTTTGATTGAATGAAGAAGCTGTATCGACGTCATCAGTTATTAGTAGACCACCATTATTTAAGCCCGCGACTCCCACTGATTCTTTGCTAATTGATTATAAATATTGCCACATTGGTCTTGGCTCATTTTGTAACTGTGGGTCTAATGCCAGGAAGTATTTTACAGAGAAAGCTGTTATAAGATCACAAGGTGGGTCGCGTGCGAGCCATGGTTGAAAATTGTGTTGAAGCGCACGAAAGAAGGACGGACAGAAGAGGCTGACAAGGACCGCGCTTGCTCTCCTTGTCAGCCTCTTCTGTCCGTCCGTCTTTAGTGCGCTTCAACGAAATTTTTAAATATGAATGTAATCCAACTAGCCCAATTTACCACCTTGAGCCATAGTTGTCCGCCAGCACACCATCGCGTGTGTCCATAACCATTCCAGCACAAAATAGGGAAAAAATCATTTAGTAAATAAAACGCACCCAATACATAATGGGACCAGAACACGGCTCCCCTGCGTGGCAACGAAGTGTTCTACCACTGAGCCACCCCGGTGCTGGAAATTCGTTCACAAACCGGCATTAGGCAGGCTTGATTTCGTAAAAAGAATGGCGTCAATACGAGAAATAAAGTGTTTTACAACAGCAAAGAACAACCAGGTGTCATGTGATGGAAATTGCGCAACGAGTGGGTCGTCGAATGCTCCAACCCTTTACTAAAGCTTGATCTTGTTCTCCTATTAACTGTGGCGCCTACCCGCTGTGGGGATTGTAGGGATTACAAAAGCTTCCGGCTTAGTTTGTCCTTGTCGTCAGGCACAGCTCGAAAAATTGCAGAACATTCCTTGTAAGGGTGCAGCGGGTACCACGCTTCTCCGAAAAATGACGAAGGATGCCATAGTGAATGCCTACCTATACTCACAATGACTAATGCCGTTGCGGGTACCCTGCAAGTGTGCTAGCAGCAGCTAGCCAAAGAGTGTTTAGAAAAGGCCCTGGAATGCTGCTCTTCCAGCTTTAGCTGCGACAGCGCTGCACATTCCGCGCAGGCCCGGTTGTTTTTCAGAGGCAGTCTCGTTTTTTTTTATTTTGATATCATTCCCTGTGACTAGCACCACAATCACGGTAGGGTCGCGCGGATTTCTATGAGAATTCAGGCGAAGACATTTCTTGTTATTCATCCAGTCGACTTCAAGAGTTTTTTGGCAGACAACTGTTTCCTTGGGACATGTTTGTCCAGTAACTGCTTTATCGTGAAACAAAATGTATACCATAATGTGTTGCAAACTGCAGACACAGCTAAATGATTGAATTCCTGCAAGAATGTGGAAATCAATAATTAAGAAAGCACCATTTTGTTCTAAAAATACTTTCAATGGCCAATAATGCGCACGTGAGAAGGAAACGATCTGAAAATAGGCCACAGTACAATCAAGGTTATTAACATCGGGATTTATGGTGGTATAGACAAAAGCAATGGCTGGTTACAAAAAAAAAGCAGATCCAAGACAAAAGAGCTATTATGGCCACATAACTTATGGGTCCAGCAACAAACTGATAAATATCATTCGCAGAGATTGCCTCGCGAAATGCCAAAGAAAGAGCAGATAAATTACCAAAGACAGGTTGATCGACAACCCACTTCAGATCAGGCATATTGAAATCTCCGTCTGTCAGACACTCATTGTATATCGTAAAAAGAAACTCTGAAAGGGATGTGAAGGACTCATACAATATGCCAGTAGGAGAAAGGTAAAACATTACCCTTCTCCTGCTAAATCACTTTCGCTTCGATATCTTCTCGTGATGTAGAATTTGATTGCGTGCTTTTGTGTGCGGGTGTGCTATCTCGTGCTTGAGGGTGCATGAGTGTGTGTGTGCGTGCATGTGCAAACAATGCACCAAAAGTCCTTTAAAAACAGTATCACCAATGCTCTGTGGTGTCGCTCTCATGCGACTAATCTAATGTTAATTTATTCGTTGTCTCTGGTTGTCCCACACCGTAACTGAGCGAACCGGCATCACTGAATTTTCTGACTTCCGTGGCTTGAATGACTATGGAATGCTTGACTCCTAAGTAAAAAAAAATAAAATTCTAAAGAGAACTGAACTGTAAAAATGAAAAATACATCAAAATTAAAAGTAGGGCTTGTGTTAACTTCAATTTGGACCATAAAAACAGAAAAGGTCACCCAAACATCTAAACAGAAAAAAATGAAAACATATACAAGAAATTGAAATTTCTGCTACTCTGCAAATGTATGCACATACAGGCCTCCCTTAAGCGCCTCGATATCTCGCGAAATGAAATAGTTGTCGAGGTGCGTTCATAATTAGCATGACGAGGCATTATAATGTTCGGTACGTGATTGCCGATAAACCCAAGTAAGCTACCTAGTGCGGCATCAATTGATTCGAACAGCATCATCAAGCAGGAGTTACGTGCAATGCCTTAGAGAAAATGACTGTCGCGACATCATATCTTTATTGCGGGTAATGAGTGGCCGGACCTCTTGCATATCAGTGCATTTTTTTTTTCAAATATTACTGTCGTCGCATCTTCCGTCACTGATAGTGTTTTCGAGGTATAAACACCAGCTCCTGTGGCTGACGCCACATTGATGTGACTTGAATTTGGTCTTTCGCGTTGACACCGCTGATTATTGGCTCAATGGTAAAACGATGCACAATGTTTTCGAAGTAGACAAACGCCGCCTTTCAGGCGACAGACTCATCAGGACAGGAGCACTTCCCTAGGACAATGCAAAAAAGTGACGTGTCGTTAACTACGTGATTATGGGGTACAAGTAAAAAAAGACATTGCTTTTTCAGAGACTATATTCGTGGAAGAATGTGCCGGTTTCCTGATCTTAGTAATTAAGAAAGTAATTGCAAATCTTATACGCACCAAAACCAGCATCATTAGCACTACTGTAGCGTTCCGGATTTTGCGCTTCGACATAACTAGCACGATGGACAGCCATTTCATTGTACTGCCAATCGGGCCGTGCCCGTTTGTGTGTCTCTTCTTTATCGCTGTGTGCCTGCGCAAACACTTCAAGAAGAACGACTTTGGTTGTAACAGACAATAAGAGAAACTACCGAGAACGTTTGAGACAGGGTGATGCCTTAGAAAAAATATTGGGGGGATACAATTATATGAAGCATCCAGAAAAATGCACTGGATGACTTCTGGGGAAGATCTGGGCAGTTCATCGCTACTATTTCAAATGATCTCTTTTATTTACCCTAATGTACAATGGGTATTTTCTGAGCACATTCTTATATAACAAGTCCGCATTAAAAATTCGTGAAGCTTTCAAAAATGAGTAGAGGTTCATGTGTGGTCAAAGGTTCCAACAGTATTTACAACAAATGGTGTCACTGTCGTCATTGAGCAAGCGTAGTAATGATGGGCAGTACGCATATTTTGCTTAGTGTTTGTTCCACCTTCCAAGCACATTCGTGGCTGTGAATATTGTCGCGTATTGGCTTTTGCTTCTGATCAATAAGTGCGTTATTGCGAAACTTATGGGCTAAGTTGAATTAGTGAGCCTTACGGTGTTAACGTGGCTGTACATTCACGTCGTCTTGCGACCAAGCTGCTGCATTTCACGCGTCATAGCCACGCGAAACCAAAGCAACGCAGCGTAGCCAAATTTCTCTACTACCATCATTTTAGTGCCGACTGAATGACGATGCGATGCAGCTACACTGTACATTAGCACAACGTTTTTCTTCTAATGTATGAATACTAAGCTCTCTGGATATAAAGAAAGACGAGTAACGTGGACAGGTATGTTGGCTTAATAGTTTCACCTAAGCATGTCAGCGTCTGAGCAACATACATAGGTCATTATAGTTTTGTGCTGTATTTTTAAATATATACTGAAACATAACGGAATAAACCACTCCGGCTTTGTCGCAGAGGACACCTGGAACACTGCAATCACCTGCTCAGACCAGGAGGTCCAAATTTGGGTTGTCCAGAGGGCTCCCA